CAAGCCCACAGGCCGCAGCCTGCATCTTGTTCGTTACAGACGACTGTGCTCCTTCATTTCCGACAGTCCCTGAGTAAGAAAGCGCTGACTTACCTCGACACTCCATGTACCCATATGTGGCAATAGCCTAGGAGTACTCAGTCAGTCGATGTATCACATGAGTCTATACGCGGGATCCGTTACATGACGTTGGGGTTCGCCTTCAAACCCGGATGAATGCTCGGCTCTTCCTCATACACATCCAGTCCTACGGAAGACACCTTGCCGCTGTCCAGTGCTTTCACTAATGCTCCTTCATCTATCACAGCGCCTCGTGCTGTATTGACCAAGACAACGCCATCCTTCATCATCTCGAACTGGCGGGTTGAAATCATATGTCGGGTATCTGTCTTTTACACGTCAGCTCCATCACAGCCACCCTGGTTTGACCTAAGCACCGCAAACATCCATTCGAGGCAGCTTAACGAGTCAGTAGAGTCACCTACGTTGAGAGGGATATTGACACTGATGACATCGCTATGAGTCAACAGGTCATCGAAAGTCACATACTCAGCGGTTCCAGCCAATTCCTCATTGAGCTGGTTCCGGCTGTGGTAGATTATCCGCATATCAAATGCTTCAGCCTTTCTCTTCAGATTCCTTCCGATCCCTCCCAGCCCGAGAATTCCGAGAACTTTTCCCTCCGGATCGTGGCCTAGAGGAGGCGGTGGATGTCCGCGCCAGTCGCCTGCACGAAGTGTGGTCATTGGCACGTTGAGTCTCCTCAATGACCCAAGAATCAAGAACATGGCCGTATCAGCGGTCGAGTTGTTCACGGCGTTGGGTGTATTAGACACTCTCACATTTCGTTTCGAACAGGCGGACACATCGACTTGGTCGTATCCCGCGCCTAAGGGCAATGACGTTAGCTTCCCTGGACGTTGGATTAAGAAACATCCATATTCAGACCACCTCATCTCCTGCCCTTGATTCAATTAATGAGATAGACTTCGCACCATTGTGGCAAACATAACCAACACTCGCTGGTAGGCTTTCGACCAGCTCTTCATCAAATCTTCCGGTGAGATCCACGCTCTCAAAAGTTCGATATATGGCCAACACACCATTTAGTTTACCGCTTCTACACTCTTCGAGGAATTCGCTTCGGTTTCGGCCTCGTGGCTTAACGAGCTCCGCATATGAGGACAATGAGTTCCAAACGTCTTTGGCACTATCGGCGCAACTATGTATTAGCCAGGGATGCACCATTCGTAAATATTCGAGCTTCAAGGGGATTCTCGTGACTTAGTAGGTAGAGTTTCCTCGCTTCTTGGGCCGACACTTCTTCAACTACGTCCATCGCTTGAAAACACACACATCAAGAAGGTTTGTTTACACCACACGCTACCTATCCATACCGGCCTGGGCAATGGGGCTCATAAATCATACGAATTCTACTGACTTCCGAACTTACTGCTCAATTTGGCCCAGAAGTAGTACCTTGGGCCGCATGCCGGCTCACTCCCCTTTGCACAACCAAGACCGCAATGGACGCGCAATACCTCGCTGGACAAAAAATGCTTGCCTGAACTAATTTGGGGTTAGTCTATACAAAAAGGTTGTGTCAGGTACATACTTCTAGCTTCATGAAGCAATTGATGTAGGCTCTGGTAAAAACGATAAAAGGATTGACTGGAAAAAAAGTTCGAAAGAGGATGCAGTATCAGCGTTCAAGGTAAAACGGCCTCTTGCATCATCACCGGAAATGTTTCAACAATCCAGGCCATGCATCGAGATACCCCGCGGTCCTCAAATATCATTCGACCACGATCACTGCCCCGCTAATGCACTTGCGCCTCTATCAGGAAACACCGCACTCGTATGGACCGAAGTCGGAAGCAGAGCAACAACAAAGCGGTGAGTTTAACGTCCTTGTCCCGGGTTCATACGTGGATTCTTCGATGCCAGCCGGAACGGCATGTCCAAGTGCCTCGGAGAGCAACTTATACTTATCTCCCAAGCGGCATCGTTGTGCCATGTGGTGCGACGCGGTTGTTATCGCTGGTTCCTACTGGACTGCATGCTGCACGATAGTGGGCTGCTGCATGCCGCGTCCGAGTGCGCGGATGCGGGCATCGCGTATCATTGTGAGTGTTGATTATTCCATTGGCTGTGGATGGCTGGACGCTGCGTTCGATCCGTTCCGTTCGGGCCATGCTGTCGCTGCGGGCGTGTTGTTCTATCGGCAGAGTTCGGTAGTAATTCTACCGTCGCATATGACTAAGAGAATAAGTACGGCTTCGGACGTCGTTGGCTTAGATCTGGGGTTTGGCGTCATTGCTATCTTGCTGTCTCTGTTGCCTTGTTGGAGTCGACCAATCGAGAAAAGCTATACTAGGCTTGATACAGGCCTTCTTGAATCCTGAGGCTCGTCTTATCCGACACCTGTTACCGAAGGAGCAGAAAGGAATTCTCCGTTGAACCGGAAGAAAATCCTCATAGTACGCCATCCATTCCGTGTGATAATTCTCGCCACGTCCTCTGTATCTAGCTCGGTAGCACTTGCAATCGCTACAACATAACGCTATGAATCAAGATTCCGCATTGCTACAATGTTTTCACCGCATACGTCATGTCCTTATCCATTGGTCAAAATGACTTCAACCCGCTCCGTACAGTCCCGTCAGTGACGACGGCTCAAGCAACTAACGACGCTACGGGATGCTGTGACTCGAGTCCACTGCGCTGAAGTGGAAGATCTTTGGAAGATGGTCTGTTTCCTGTGCCGCGTAGATAGGAGCGTCACCTTGATAGTTTTGACGTGTTCGGTGTAGCACGGTGATAGGAAACGTGTGAAGAGTACGGGTAATCACTGCCCTGTTAATCTCTGAGAACGTGACCATCAGCGATGTGGACATGTTCTCTTGCATCGTTGGCTGCTCGGCCGTTTGATTCTTACCTATTTCCAATGCAGTACGGATGATTGAGGTAAAGGCCTGACGCGTTGGATACGGAGACGACGTAGACTGTTGTGCGTACCTAGTTAGCCTGCTAGATACATGGTTGGAAGAATGATCTTAGTGGAAGACGTAAAATGCAAGATTTAAGATGCTCTTCCAACGCATCGATATCTGTGTTGTGAAAATGAAACGATAGCTCTTCAACACCATCGTCCAGTAAAGAAGACTTTCCAACTCTCCGAGTCTCCGACAGACAGGCATACTTGTATCCTGTGTCGTAACCTACGGCGTTTGCAGAGGGGTCGCAGGCAGTTGCAAAGAATCCTAGATTCCCACTCTCATCAGCATTCGTCTGGCTTCAGTCAGATACCCAGGACATCAAATCCGCCACAGCGGAGCTGCGGTGGTAGTAGTCTTCTCGCGGTGTTGATGGACGAGAGCATGCAGCTCAGTCCTATACGTGGCGTCTCTACCTCTAAACCATTGTCCAGAGTGAAGGATACATTCTTCCCTTTTTGAGCCCTATTTAGAAGACGAATAGTCTGTAAAGAGTCCTCAGTTCTTATACCAGGTAACAAGCACCAGAGGAAGATGATGCAAGGAGGCAGCGCACTCATGGAGCGTTACTAAGGATGGTAATTGGCAGAGTATAGAGGGCTTTGATAAACGCAAGTCTTCTAGAAGATGTCTTACGGGACTTGTCGAACGCTTCAGGCTTGACGTAGCGGAAGGCGTTGGTTGTGAGAATCTCGTTCTCTCTCCGATGGTGTTGTCACGTTGATTCGTGAAGCACTCTGGTCAGAAAATACAGTAATCTCATGGATCATCTTGAAGAACGGCTTATTCCAGCAGTTTAAAGCCTCGAATACCCGCTGCATATCCATCTATAGCTGCGAGCATCCCAGCCTTAGCCTACGACGTCGACGATACGCGATCAATTTATGAGCTCAATATGTAATGGAGGCGCGTGGAGAGCATTTTGAGCGAAAGTCTGGTTTGCGGAAACGAGGATGAGAATACACTTCAGTAGGTTCAGCATCCGGTTCAGGGATAACAAGCGGGGGTTCTGGCTCGAATTGGACTTCTTAAATTTCTTCTCTTTTTAAATTTTCCTAGGAGTTGGTTCAATGACCTCAACTGCTGGTGGTTCTAGTTCTAGTTCAGGGGTGGGTTCAGGCTCGAGCTCGACATATGCAATCCGCAACACTGTTCACAGCCAGATGAATCAGTGTACCCGCGGCCATGCCTCTGGAACAAAGTTCCAAGGGTAACATGCATTGTAGTGTCGACAGACACTCGTGCTGAGTCTACCCACCAAAGCATGGACATTCATGTCCATGATAGTCGTGGACCGTACCAGTGCCATCTCTGTGGCACTTTAACGCCGTCCACTTGCGGTTGACCGTGTGGGTTGACAGCTTTAGTTCTCGTACGTCACTGAACGTGGGAAAATCATGAAGCCCTTCTGGCAGTATAAAAAGAAGCAAACCTAGATCTCAAAAATAATTCAAGTCCTCTTGGCACGTGTATGCTGTACCCCAAAGGTAAGAAATATTAGGCCTCTCTAGACGACTTCAAGATCTTTTATCGCTAAAGTCCGTACTATTGTAGCACTGTATGCGGAACGCCGTCTTATTTTCTAGTATTTTTAACGTCTGAATGGTTAGGTGGGAGTCGTCAGCATGTAGCATGAGTTGAATTTGTTAGTGAAGACAAATTGTGGGACACTACAGGGCTCCTTTTATGTTTCGAGGTAACGACGAGAGCCTAGGAGTTCTACGTATAGCTGCAATTATGAGACTTGCTGGTTGATCTGTTTGGGATGACTGAGTCCTGAAAAGAATGTATAACCAAGGCACGCAAGTAGAAGAACTTGTGACTTGTAAAGAACAACATTAGCCTTTCTTTCCTAGATGCAAATAAAAATAAAATACAGGTGTAACAGGTGTGATATAGGCAGGAGTGAACGAAAAAAGTGGAAAGGTTGAGTGCGGGATACAAAAGTGACAAAAAAAAGGCAAAAAAGAAACCTGGGGTATCTGACTGAAGCCAGACGAATGCTGATGAGAGTGGGACTCGAACCCACGCCACTTTCGTGACCAGGAAGTAGGATGCTAAGGAAGACCTTAACCTGGCGCCATAACCAACTCGGCCATCTCACCATTTCTGATTGATGGAGGATTTACTCATTTGTGCAAATATATACTATTTGCAATTACTTGAGTGAGATTGAGCTGCACCACGAGGTTCTGGAGCTGCCTTGCGCAACCTCCAAAGTTCGCAAAATGTGGGGTACCGACGGAAGAATTTTCACGGTTCGTAAGGCAACCAATCATTTCGTGCATGACTCGGAGAAATGACCTCTAAGCTAACCCGCATTTCGGCAATGAAGCACGAGACGAGACCATCAGCCTCGCAACATAGGTAATTTGTTTTAAGGCGTGCGCATTATCAATTACAAATTTCTGGAAGGATTTTCTATAATATAAGAATAGATGATATGAGTTCGTATCTCGATCCTATGATCCACAGCTCGTCGTTGCTTTTCCCTATTGTGGTAAAATGGGCTAATGAAAGGATTCGGAATGTTTCGATTGTGGTGCAGCCTTTCACACTTCACACCTACGATGTACGAAGTGTACAAAAGTCGAAGTTTAGAAAAGGCCTCTCAAAACATGTTCAGCTGCGCCCAAGTGACAGGATTTCTTCTTGCATGATGGGAGTTTTTAGTTCTTCTTCTAACGACCAGCTCACCAGCGCTCAGCTGAGTCAAACTCCAATCGCTCGCTCGTCCTCATGTATCCCGCAAGCCCCATCTGCACACTAGGAACTCCGTACACACGTCGTTCTGCAGACCCCAAGCGCCTCAGCCACGCCCGCCATGGGTATCCTAAACCTCCAACGCATCAACCCCTCCCCGACTTAGATTGCCCCCCTCCACTACAATCCACACTTTTGGCCTGTCCCTTCCGCATCGAGTATTTCGCACCCTGCTCGAATACGACGGGGGCGCAACGACGCGAGGCTTGCTAATCGATTGCAGTATGGCTCGACGTGCTGGCTGAAGATGCAAACCCTTATTCGCGAAGACGTGCGAGGGGGTTCCTAGGGAAACTTTACGGCAATGTGGAGTTGACTTCATCTTTGATCGATGGTTTTGCTGCGTGACTTGCCTTTGTGGGTAATTGTGTGTTCTGGACAACAACCCAGAGACTCCGCAACATGCACCCACGGCTCCAGCACCTAACGTGTCAGATCCCTTTTTCGGATCCCGACCGCACAGTGATTTCCGGAAGCAATACATGGCCTTCTCGATTGGAACGCCCCGTTTTCTACAGGTTTGAGGAAACTTGCCGCTTGTGGCAATTCGCGAGTAAGACATTGATTTGGAACATGCAGTGGCTATTGAACACCAAACTCCGTGCTAGTTTTTGAAGCCTATGGATTCGAACGCGAGGGTCGTACAGAAACGTGCGATAGAGTGCAGACTTTCTTGGCCTGTCTTCTATCCTTTGCACTGAAACTTTCCTGATGGGGTAGTTTGAGAGAAGGCGTGATAATACCTTTTGGTATACCCACGTGCTTCTCCGACGGGGTGGTGCGCTAGGTTAAGTCTGCTCCGAGATCCTTGTAACAGCACTACAATAAGCGTGGAGAATACCCAGATCTCTGCTTGACGATCATGATGGCATCAGGACCCTCGAAATCCACTTAACTTGACTTTGAGCCTATGAGAGTGTTCTCGGCAACAATGTGGCGAATTACTATAAATTATTCTATCGATCTCGATGTCAGCCATCGATGCTTGAGTGAATATTGCCTATCGAGGTTATGCGGGGATAAGAATCTGGAGCAAGAGCGGGTAGACCATGGAAGAGCTTAAACGGGTCTGCTTTTAAGGGGACCATGTCATTACGTTCAATATCGATGCGTTGGTCGAGACTGGGCGAGAACATTCACTGTGTTTGATGGATGAAAGACTTCCTTCCTTCTTGGGCAGGTACAACTATATTCATTTTGTCCAACAAAGCTTAGCATTGCATTCTCGATGTATTGTTATACAAGGATAGGTAAGAAGAAATGCGGTCGAATTTGGATAGTGCGAGTTAGGTGGCATGATCGCGCAGCAAATTTTGATGACCAATTGTCATCTTTTTTGGAATTTTTGCTTTTTACATGCTCTGGTATCTCGTGGATATCACGAGGCTGCGACTCCGAGGTCATTGTCTTTGGCCTTTTTGAATTGGGGAGAACACGACAGGTCCTTGCGCACAAGGAGAGCCCTTGACATAGCTTCGATGTAGAGCTGAGCTTGAACCAAGCCTCCGGCTGCTTTCATAGTCTCAATGAGCTCATACTGTGTCAAGCTTGACAGAGCAATGTAGACAGATATGCTGACAATATTGCATGTCCTTCAATCGACCCTCCTTCTTACGCTCCGCTCGGTACCATCTCCCCCCATACCAGCGACCACGTCCTGGACCAACTCTCTCAATTGCTGCTGCACCTCCTCGGATTCATAGTCTTCCCTAGCGGCCAGCTCTTCTATGCGCCTCCGTATTTCAGGATCTGGAGCGTCGCCAGCCGCATCCTCTGCCATGGTGCCCATATTGATCTTGACACCCCCCGGTAGGGGAGGGGGAGGATGTATTCCTTCCATCTCAGCAGCGCCAGCACTCTTTGCTTCACCGCCTGTGCGGAGGCTCTTTAGGTATTGGTAGACTTCATGGGCCTCGCCCTCCTCTTCCCCGATTTTCTCCTCCGCAGTTTTCCCCTCGGCATTCCGTATTGAGATGTCGGCCCCCAGCTCGTGCACCAAGCACGTTGCGATCTGGGCATTTTCAGTTGCAAACAGGGGCGTCTCGCCATCCTCGTCGAGAATGTTTACATCGACATTGTATTTCTGGATTAGCTCGCGTAAGACACTGAGCTGATTGTAGGAAGCGGCGGCGTGGACTAACGAGTAGCCGTGCGCATCGCGCGCTGAGGCAAGCTGTGGATGCTTTTCTAGCGAGCTGAGAATGGCCTGTGGGCGAGAATCGATCAGGTTGAGCAGCAGGTCGATGGTGGGAGTGGGCAGCGCCATGTTTGGGAGTCGCCGCTGTGCCGCTCGAGACAGACTGCAACGCCGTGCGGATTGTCCGGACGTCCGCTCTCCACGGCGGCTCTCGAGTGAATGACGTGGGCTGCGAATATTTGGGTGTGGGACAACGTCGCGGCGTGGTTCTTAGCCCACTGCCCAGAATGGCCGGCGCCGGGATTGGTCAGAGGCCGGATCCGATCGCTCTGTCCATGGGCGTTGCATCATAATGCAGCCTCGATCACTCGCCCGTCAACTTCGCGCTGTGCTGCACCCTTCGCACGCTCGAAACTCTTGGGGAATGCGCAACTGCAGCGTGACTGAGGGTCCACGGCGGGCCTTGTCAGCGTCCCAAGTCGCGCCGGCGCTGTTCGCTGCGAGTCTGAGGCGCTTTGGGCGCTAGCTGAGACGACGCCCGCCCATTCACCTCCGCAGCCCTCACAGCCTCAACAGGGGAAACGTCAGATCTGGCTTGGCACAGTCGTGTGCGCTCTCTCCTAGTCCTGTGCCTCCGCTGACAGCCCCGGTGACTTGCTTCTTTTGAACCCGGCCTTTCGCTATTTCTCAGTCTTTCCTTTGTCAGGAAACTTAATTGCATACCACGTCAACTGCCAGACCGCAGCAGTCGCACTGATCTACTTGCATCACCGCATTCGGCCGCTCGCCATTTGCATTGCTCGAACTGACCCTCACCTCTCCATGCGCTCGCTCTTTTAAGCGGCTTGGGACGTTTCGCACTGTTGGCGTCACTCCATCTTAATTTCTCCCTACTTCTGCCAACTGCTGGCACCAAACAACCACATCACGAAAGATGGCTACCTTTAGGGGCCTGAACGTGCCGTCAGTACGGCTCATAACATCGTACATCTTCGACTGGATTGTCATCATGTGAGTACCACCGTCGCGTCCTCAGCCGCGACACTACGCAATTCAAGCTCGCTACCACAAAAAGCCTTTCAATTTCACAAGCCGTATCATGATGTGCGAAATCAAAACAATCATCACTAACACGAAAACAGTGCAATCGCTGCTGTCGGCGCTGGCTGGGAATATGTCCAGCCTTTCCACAGGCCCTTCTCTCCCGTCGACCTCTCCATCTCATACCCCTTTGAGACCAAAGAAACAATTCCCACCTGGCTGCTCGTCGTCGTCGCCCTCGTCGGTCCCGCTGCCATCATCTTCATCGTATGCCTCGTATTTGTCCCTGGACCGACAGCTGAGCGAGGAACACCGAAGGCGCTCATCTGGCGACGAAAGCTCTGGGAATGGAACACGGGATGGATGGGCTTAGCTCTGTCTCTTGCAACTGCCTTCATGATCACGCAGGGCATGAAGAACTTGTTCGGCAAACCACGACCTGATTTGTTGTCTCGATGCAAACCGGATCTAGGTCGTATCGAGGAGTTCGCCGTGAATCCCATTGTTGGAGCAGCTTTCAACGAGAACTGGGTGCTGGTTACTTCGGGAATCTGCACAACAACGGATGAGGACCTCCTGAAAGACGGTTTCAAGTCCTTCCCAAGTGGACACGCCAGCTGTAAGCATATTCTCCGAGCAAGTCTGCTCATCAGCAACTAACCGTGCCGCAGTTTCATGGGCTGGTCTCCTCTATCTCACTCTTTTCCTCGCCTCCAAGTTCTCCGTCGCCATCCCCTTCCTCCCACCACGCCCATACAGCACAAACCCAGCCTTCACCTCGGCCATCACGCCCTCCAATCTCCGGAAGCGCACCGGCACCCTCCCAATCCACAAGCAAGAGTCGTCTCTCGCGTCCCCAACCTACGCAGAGGAAGACGTTGTCCCCATCCGCTACCAAAACGCCGCGCCACCCGTCTACACGCTCATCCTCGTCCTCGTCCCCGTCGGCTCCGCAATCTACATCGCCAGCACCCGCTTCACCGACTACCGCCACTTTGGCTTCGACCTGCTCTTCGGCAGCTTGATCGGCATCACGGCCAGCTGGTTCAGCTTCCGCTTCTACCACCTCCCCATCACGCGCGGCGCTGGCTGGGCCTGGGGACCCAGGAGCTACGACCGAGCGTGGGGCATTGGCGTGGGTCGCGGTTCGTATGTGGGCACCGA